GTTTCGAGAGGATTGAAGAGCAAAGGCGAGAAGATTGGCACCGACATGAAGAGGACCAAAGGAGGACTGTTGGACCTATCTACTCCTATATAGCACATCAGGGTGACTTCACCTCTATGACCACTCCTCCTCCAGCACCCTCATGGTATAACCCCATTGAATGGGGTTATTTTGGTGGTTCGACCTCTAGTGGTGGAGGCGGGCAAGACGGATACGGCGGTGATCACATGGATGAGGATACCCACTTTAGGGGCTATGGAGGATTTTTCGATGGCGGAGATGCGGGCAGGCACTAGGGACTGTGCCACGGACTAGCGGTGGTGGAGATCTTTCCGGTATGTTCACATTCACACTCTTGATTCTTGTTTCTTTTTAAAAAAATAAAAAAAAGCTTGTTAAGTTGAAAACCCACAAAGGGCAGCTTAAGCAAAAATAAAGCAAAAATAAGAGTGGATTTGTGAGATTTATTAAAAGAAAATGTGGGAAGATGGGTTGAAAACCCGAAAGGGCACCAAGGCAAAATGAGAGAATGAGAGAAAGTAGTTCTTTTTATTTTGCAGGATCCTAAGGGTGATGACTAAAGAAGGTTCATTGCATGAAGAAATTGGAATGGAAGACCCCTTGATGTGGCCTCTTTATGTTGGGGATACCTTGTGATCATTTTTTTAAGAAAAACTTTGTGATGGTTGTGTTGATGAACTTATCATTTTAGGATTTCTTGGATTACATTTACTCGAGACGAGTAAAGATTCAAGTGTGGGGATATTTGATATGCACTAGTTTATAGTGCATAAATGTATGTTTTTGTATTGACTTTGTGTAGATTTTCTATCATCTTTAGTTAGTTTGTAGACATTTGTTTTATGTTGTTTGTAATTGTTTTTAGCTTTCATGTGTAGAATAGTCGTAGTGTTTTTAGCAAGGAAAAGGAGAAAAAAGTTGAAGATAAAAATGTCTAGGAGCACAAAACCCGGCCGGATCAGGCCCTGAACCCGGTCGGGTCTGAGTTGAGAGCTGAATCCCTGAGGAAATAGCTAGACCCGGTCGGGTCCCCTACTTGACCCGGTCGGGTCTAACTTGACCCGGGACATTTTAACGTGCTGAAACACAATAACGTGGAAGATGATCTGATTTTGACCGGTACCCGGTCGGGTAAGTACTATACCCGGTCGGGTACCCGGCCAAAGGTGTTGAAAAACACCTATAAATATCACACTTTTTCTTCACAAATAATCATCCCTTCTTCTATACTCCTAAGCTCAGTTTAGAATAGCATTTCTTATATTTTATAGCATGTTTAGTCTCCAAATGAGGAGCTAAACTTCCATTTCTTGGTTTTGCTCTTGAAGCTTGTTGATTATTAAAGTTGTGAGTTATTTTCTTAACTTCTTCTCTTGATTATTAATTCTTCCCTTAATCTCATTCTATATTAATGTTGGAGGGTTGCTAAATGACGATTAGTTAACGTTCCGACATTAGTTACTACTAGAAATGATCAACGAACCGATGGTTAATCGTTGGTGGTTTCACAAGTAAGTAACTTCGGTTTATTAATGCACGGTCGTGGTTAATAGACTTAAGAGGGATCAATTTTGTTGGTTAAACCAAAACCGTTGTGTTGAGGTTATCAATCTCAATTAATTTCATCAAGGAGTTAAAAATATTGAATGCTAGTATTATATCGGTATACGGCGTTGTTCTATATTTGATTAATAGTAAGGGTTATTAATGAACAGCCGTTGTTAATAACTATCCTCGATGAATTGGAGATACTCCTCGATTGAGTATTCGAGAGGGGATAAGTTATAGATATAACAAGGATCAACTAAAATATATCAACAAATGCAAAGTAGCAAAGCCAAGTCCCTTTTATTCTTGAATTAAATCTCATATAAGTCGTTCATCTTAGTTTTTAATTTAATTAAATCATTCATTACTAAACCCCCCTTTATTTACTAAGTTTCATAAAAAGAGAATTGGTCCTTTCCCTGTGGATACGAACTCTAATTCACCTATACTACGTATAAGTGTTAGTATCGAATTATTTTGACGCACCGTGACAAAGTGCTTGTCAGAAGCAAAGCATGTAAAAAGAGGAGAAAAGGTTGATGAACTAACCTTTGAAGTTTTGAAGTTTTGAAGAACACTCGAACAAGCCTTTATCTCTCTAGAAATTTGGGCAGCGCTTCGTTATCTCATAATGCAATAGGGAGTTCCTTCAGAAGGAGGGGGGTATTTATAGACCTCCCCCCAACGGTCACTACATGTGGCACTCCCCCATTGGCCACATGAACTGCCACCACTTCCAAGGCCCAATAAGGTGCCACCGGTTCAGAAGATGGGCCAGGCCCACTTCCATCAATACTAGTCCATTACCGACGTCCCAGCAGTCAACATCCATAACGGCCAAGGCATTCAACGGCTACACCAAGAAGAAATCTGACTCCACAGGGCATGACTACATCAGCCCTAGCAGCCAATAATCATTTCAACGGCTGGTCACACCACAAAGTGTGCCCATATCGGCTTAAGCACACTAACAAGAACAGGGCCCCTTCAACGTCCACAACAGCAAAGCAAAGGACAATCCAACAACCATCGGCCTTGTATAAAACCCTGGTGATAACTTCTTGAAAGCGACTTGCGTCCAAGGGTTCTCCCATAGGGTTACCTTGGTCAGGAATCACCAAGGGGTTGGACTCATGGGAGTACAAGGATCCCGCTTCGGCTTAGGGTTACACCTTACTCCTTCACCCCTCGCTCACTCTTTGGCCTGAAGCAGTGGGGGACTGGGGGACTACACCGGCCTCCTAAATGCAAGCAAGGACAAAACTAAAAATCCAAAAAATAACACAAGTCCACAACTACAGCAACAGTATGTCATATATGCACCATAATGGTGCACCCTCGGCCGCAACAAAGTCAGCAAACAAAGAAGTATAACTCCTCCCAAAATGTGACGTGTATCGTCCCTTGACGCACGCCACTCAACGGCTTTGAGATCACATACTCCACTCTCGGCCAAGATGAGGAAACGGGAACACAACGTCCTCGGGTCATCATCGTCCATAAGATCAAAATATGCACTCCTTCTGAGTCAGCGCCGCTATCGTTCTAAAAGATGGACACCAAACTACGGATATCACCGCTTCGACCTGAAGCACGAAAGCAATCATGAGGCCTCCTCGGCCAAGTCACCAAAAGCAACCACCAATGACCAGAAAGAAGAAACATCACCCGCGGCAGCTATTCAAATCAAGAGCACATATCAGCCACTGAGCCAGGACACCCATCGTCCTCAAACAAGCAAACTTACCCCATCAGAGGAACATCAGCCTTCTTCGTCCACAGTGAAGAGCATACAACGGCCAACACAAAGAACCAAAACAGGAAATGGCCACAACGGTCAGAAGACATCAAGACTATGGAATCTACTCTCCCTCACTTCGTCTACATCTCAACTCAGAGAGTGGGGGACTCCTGATGGAGTATATGGGTCTAGACCCCAGGACCCACATACTGAGAAGAATGAAAGACACAGTTGTCGCCCAGTGGGGCCTCCGTCAGCCAGATGGCCCCCATCGGCCAAAAAGATACCAACCCAGAACATGGTCCAGAAGCCAGGAGAACTGACTGTCCCCGTCGGCCGGGTCTCCGTCGACCATGGCTCCGTCAGCCAGACCCTCGTCGGCCACAGAGAGCTCCCAGAACCGGACTTCACACTAAATTACTTCTACATATTTTGTACTCAGCCCAATAGTGGCCCAATTTTAAATGAGCCTCCCAAGCCCAAGACTTGGGAGCCCAGCCCTAATTTCCTCTATAAATACTCACCTTGGGAGTAGTTGTAGGGGGTTCACAAATCATTAATATCAAGCATTTATATCACTTCTCTCTCTAGCTCTCACCTCTCTCTAGGAGTTAATACTCCATCACTGACTATCAGATAATTCATATTCTTAAAATGTATCATTAATCAGACATATTAGTTTACTTAGCCTTGTACTCAAGAAACTGGACCTAGATAGAGGAATACTGACAGTAAGGAATACAGTCACGAAGTCAGTACCCAAATTACCCAGAAAGGATATGGAAACGTAATCGCCAGAGCTACACGTACCAATCCCTAACAGAAGCTAGCTGAAGACAAAGGACGAGATCACCGAAGAGACCCGATCCTTAACAGGAGAGTAGTAGTGTTCTAAAAAGATTTCAGGAGTGTACGAAGTACACTAAATAGAAGAACACTTATTCCTCTAAAACAGAATTTCAAGAGTGTACGTAGTACACTAAACAGAACAGAAGTATCCACGTTAGAGTGCCAAACCAAGAGCAAGGCTTTTCAGAAAATATAAACTTGGATTCTTTATCATTAGTACTTATAGTAATTTAAATAATTCATAAAATCAAAGAATTAGTTCTACTGAAGTCATTTAAAATATATATTCGTAAACTCACATAAACAACTCATATACATGGAGCACATATACACACGTACATGGAGCACAGTACATATACTACATATTATACATATATAATATTAATCAATCAATTATTACATATTTGTTAATTGGAAGTATATATATGTGTGTGGGTGTATATATATACACTTACGTTGTATACTTGTATTAGATCATGCATATTATTAGTATATTATTAATTGGAAGTATATATGTGTGTGTGTATACTTACGTTGTATACTTACGCATATATATATCAAATTTCCATTGATGCCTTAACTAATTGTTTTGCCCCTTGTTGGGCATTGACCCCGCACAAAGTGCGGACTGATGCTAGTATATATATACTAGCATCAGTCCGCACTTTGTGCGGGGTCAATGCCCAACAAGGGGCAAAACAATTAGTTAAGGCATCAATGGAAATTTGATATTCAAAAAACATCAAATGTAGGGTAAAACTTGATTTCAGATTATCTAAGAACTGGCAAGTTTATAGAAATAAATACTACAGATTTCAAAATGCAGAATAGGGTAGAACTAACCTATAATGTTTCCCTTAAAGGATATGCCATCAAAACGAGTTTCTATTAACATAAAGGATAACAAGTCATACAACAACAGGGAAAAAATACATATTACAAACATTGATGCAATAAAACAGTTGCAATGCTATGATATAGGTCGTCTTAGATGAAACATCATTTTCTTAATTAGTAAATATTCATCACAATTTCAATTTCCTGGAATTATGATTACGAACAAAAGAGTTGCATTGATAGTATCAAAACACCGGTACTGCTCTTCCAAATCAACAGCCTTAGTAGAGCCGTTGTGAAAGATGTCGAGGATAATGAATCCAATGATAATAAGAAACAATGACTTCACTAAACCTGTGGATTCATGTAGAAGTCCATTGCTGTAGAAGCCTTTGAAAGAAATGGGTTCAACCGGCAACACATTATCTACCACTGGAATAATAATTACAAAAAGCCCGATAAAAGTCAGATCCAAGCAAGAAAACTGTGAGTATAAGCAGAGAAGGTGGATATGTAGGGGGTGAGCATACATACAGTCCGCAAATGGTGGAAGACCCCAAATTTCAGGCTGTAACTCAAGAATGGAATGAAGCACATAATCAGCAACAGAAAACTGATGGATTCCAATATTTACTGATGGCACATCAACTACCTTCATTCCAGCAGCTTTTGCTGCTTTGACTCTAACTCTGTAAAAATCAAAATGAAAATTTACAACTTTCCACACTCCGGTTAGTAATGACCTATTTATTCTCTTAGCCCGAAATAAATAGATAATCTGATATGAATTGTTTTAAGATCTGGTCTAGGTTAAGTTTTTCTTGTCTGATATACAACATCTGCTTGGTCTAATCTCAATTGATCTTTATAAAATGGTCTGGTTTGAATATAATTATACCCATGCCCCCGCCCCAAGAAGAAAATAAGTAACTATAAGGAATAGTGTGAAGGAGAGCTTACATGGAGTCCTCTATCACAAGACAATTTGTTGCATCTACGTTCATCCTCTTTGCAGCTTCACGAAATCTGAGCAGAAGAAAAAAATGACTTCATCTATGTGTACCATAAAGGTAACTACGCAATCTAGAAGAATCATGAATATTTAACTATCTTAACATACATGTCTGGGACAGGTTTCCCTAATCTAACTTGGTCACTTCCAAGAATCACCGCAAAGCGTTCTTTCCAGCCTGTGAAATAAAAGAATGTTTTTTATAAGGAAAGATAAGATATCTCATCAAATTGAATAGCAAACACATGGTTTAACTGAGTTGACATTTCTTCATGATAAATAAAAGGCGGTCCTTTTCATTAGGAGAAGCAATCACAAAGTTCACATTCATAATAAAAAGTTGATATCAGGCTAGAAAAAAAGAATAATGAGCTATATATCACATACGATGCTATATTTTTAATTTTAAGAGCCTCACATATATACCAAGATATAGACTTAGTCAATCAAAACCTGCAGAACTCTCAATCCAAACTGACCCGTTGGGAAAAAGCTAAACTATTCACAGTGTTAAGAAGTCAAAACACAACCTTCATGGTAAGAGAGTTTCCCCTCGATGTATCTCCTCACTGAATTCGAAGCAAGTGCAAATGGAACTCCTTTCTTATGGAGATGACTCATAAGGCGGTTGGCTCCATGAAGTGGTTTAGCTAGCGCCCACCTTACAAAAAAAATATGTTGATAGTAACAATCCAATGAACAATATATGCATGAAACTGAAGTTCAGTTGATAGTTGGCAACATAAAACTCAAAGAATGATTAAAAAGTGAAAGAACTTCATGTATGGTGAAAAATGCTTTGAGTTCACATGCTCATTGAGTCATTGCTCAGTTACAGTCAGATGTCAATCCTCTCAATGGAGGAACTGATAAAAATAAGATCAAGCCATAAATATCTTTTATGCAGTAGCTGTGGGACTTCTTCATTAAGATGGAATACAAAGAGATAGTCGTACACTCTAACGGGTCGGTTTGTATGAGGGGTTTTTAAGGGGTTTGGTGGAAACAGATTTGGAGTGAATATTTGTAGTCTATTCCTTCATAATTAAAATATTTCTAAAAACCAATAAAAGGAGATTGAAATGCTCTACAATTATATACTATGTTAATGATCTTTCGCTTTTGATATAATCATGTGTGTGTGTGAAGATATAAACTAAGCCTTCAAAAGTCTTTCCCTACAAAATCCTCATCTAAACAGACCCTAAAGAGAATACCAGTGAAACAATGCTAGAGTTATGAGGAAATTGTAGCTGGCAAAACGGAGATTAGGAGAGCTCAACAACCGTGAATGAAAATTTATCTAATTCAGACATATTAGATTCATGATGAATTATACACGGTATTATCTATACCTTGATAGAAAAAACCCACATAATAAATGAGTGCAATGCAAATTTAGCTAATTCATCGAAAACCTCAAACTATGTTGTGTGCTAAATTTGCTAATTAATTCTACATATATAGTCTTCTGCATATTTGGTACTCTCGTATTCTCGTTATGGTGATACCATGATATAGTGAACACAGTCCCTTAACTGTCGACGTATCCAATTTTAGTCCTTAAATTAACATAAAGGTGGCAAATTGAGTATTTCCTCTCATGAAAACATTAACTTCCAGTTACAAAAATTTGAGAGTGGAGGTCGGGCAATGAAAATTAGAATTTGGGATTAGGCTTACAAAAATTAGGTTGTAATTTGTGGAGGAGGAGACTGGCTGACCTGCGAGCGAACACTGATCGTGCGGAGGTTGTGGACCATGGAGCCGTGGCTTCTCTGGGTTGATTCCGATTGGGGAGACAGAATGCGACGGGTGAGTTTGTGAGGCCGGAGAAGCGGAGCGACACACCACTATCTAGTGCTTGATTCTGAATATGGATTTCATTAAAACAGAGAGAAGCCCGACCTCTGAACTCGTAGAGCAAACCCAGAGAGCACCCACCTCGTCAGCACAAATATCACTCCCCAGAAAGAGTTATCAAATGTTGAGGCCAAAAGCCCAACGTCCCCACCCCACAACAATAGAGAGGAAAAGAAACGCAATTAAACCAGAACAATACCCATCGCCAATAGAAAATAAAAGAAGAGGGGAAGCAAAAAGCCAATCAGAAAAATAAAACAGGGAAGCTGAAGGACTCACCGGGCAAGCTGAAGGAGGCGAGAGCAAAAACCAGCGTAGGAATAAAATCAGATAGAATATCTGCACTTGTAGGAGACCAACCGCTCTTGTTGGTCTCAAAGGGGAGGTGACTCACCCTCGGTGAACGAGAATCATCACCATCCAACAGCTGCATCACAGGCTTGTGCGGTCCATAGAGCAGGGGCGCAGAGGGATTTACATCAGGGAAAACCAAGCGGGAGATATTTTCTGTTGGTGAACAGCAGCTAAGGGAAATAACACAGGCTTTAACTGAGGGAACAACACCGTTGGACGTGTAGTAACGGAATAGTACGATAGATAACTCTCTTCCACTCTTTAGAAGAATAGGGGATATATATATGCATGGATATGAGCTAATGCATACATGTAGCCATGTAAGCTATAAAGCTAAGGCACTGACATTATGTTTAACCAACTATGTACTCTATCATTTACATGAATGACGTATTGTTAAGTTTATTTATAAAAACATATCATCTGAGTTACGTATTATTGGTTTTCGTTCAGTGAGTTTAGAAGCTATTTTTACGATAGTTACAGATTGAGAATAATAATTTTATACTTACAGATTTCGAAACACATAAGATATCCCTAAATTATATAATGTCCATCATCCCCATAACATAAAAAGAAACGGGGACGGAATTTAACATAACAATATTAAAATACATACTAATCTAAAAAAAGAAAAAAACATACTAATCTAACGGGGCGGAAACATATTGACCTTATAGATGAAATTAATCTGAAATTCCCAAGAGTAGTACTCTTGCTATCTTCTCTTGGATATATTAATAAATTTGTTACTTAAAACTTAATGAAGGAGCATCACCTATTTATATAGTCAGTTTGGACCATCATGTATAATCCTTGTCATTTTAAAAATTGTCTTATTAAGACCAAGTGTCTAATGACAAGGATATAATTTTGATGTCTCACTATTCTTCCAAGTTCCTTAAGTGTATTAGTCATCAAGGAACTATGTAAATGAATAAAATATTGGAGCTAGAAACTAATAAATCCTAACGTCTTGACTTATCACCTTTTTATGTTTTTTAACTTTTTTTAAAATCTTAATTCTTATATTTATGTACGGTGGGAATTTTCATAAGATAAGACTAAGAGCTTCTTATTTAGTAAATTTAGGAAGAAATAATTAAGAAGAAATTTACCATTTTTTTGATTGAAATATAATTATTTATTTATATTGATAATATAAATTTATTCACATCTAACCTAACAACTTGACCAGATTTTGGGGCGTTACAAAACCGTCCTCAAAACTCGTATGTATAAATGGTAGAGGATCTAGGGACTAAACTGTTCTCAAAACTCGTATGTATAAATGGTGGAGGACCTAGAGACTAAACCGTCCTCAAAACTCATATGTATAAATGGTGGAGGACTCAGGGACTAAACCGCCCTCAAAATGCGTACGTATAAATGGTGGAGGACCCAGGGACTAAACCATCCTCAAAACTCATAGCTATAATGGTGGAGGACCCAAGGACTAATCGTCCTCAAAACTCATATGTACAATGGTGGAGGACCCAGGGACTGAACCGTCCTCAAAACTCATAGATTACTGTTTAGTAATTCAAGGTCGGGTGGTGTCCTTATGATATTTGGTTTGGACTAGGAGGAGTCCTATTCACTCATATGTATATGTGTGGGTTGGGATTTAAGTCAAGAATATTGACTACTACTATTTTCCAAAATAAACAATAACCTACGGGTCTGGTATTTCGAAGTGTATATATACTGATATATATATTTCATATCTTGGGGGAAAGAAACATAAGTATATGTATCACCCTAAGTTTGGGTCTTATACTTCAAACGTTAGTTATTCTACATTTAGTCTGTTGCTTGCTTGGTATTCGCGCACTGACCCCTTCGAGGGGGGGGGGGGCACCATTTCAGGTTGAAGCTAGAGCTTGCTACCTGCACCTTTGCACGAGTGAAGAGAATCTCAAGGAAGACGTGGTTCGTGCTTCCTTTACTATTTTAAACTACAAACTATGTTCATGGATATTTATGTAATGGATACATTGTTTTGGGTATGCGAGCCCCCGCTTTGGCCATGTGTGGCCCATAATTGATTATTGAATATTTCCGCTATTCATTTAATCTAAAGTCTAAACTGTGATGTTGTTATGTATGTTTACTTACTGAGGAATGGTATGGACCTTGTTCATGGACGCTTTGTATAATTAACTCACGTTGATTTGCGAGTGACGTCACTTGGTCATACGACGATTGTACACGCGCTTAGATGCGGTCTGGGGCGTGACAGCTCAAATTTTTATCAAGTTTATATCATCCCCAAAACAAGCTTCTCAGCATCGAAAATGGGGAAAAGAGAAACCAGGAACACGCTTGCGACTTTGGCAGCTAACCCGGAACCCTCCATGGAAACAACTGCCACTTCTGGCGTAAGGAGGGCTCTTGGAGACAAACAGATGGACTTCGACATTGTTGATCTCCGCCTGCAGATCCAGCAGAATTCTCGTGATCTGCGCCGCCAGATCTCACTGGGCAGAGATGCAGCGGCAACGCCATCTTCTCAAGTGGTCCCGCAACTCCAAAACTTTTTTATTGTGCACCCCTCAGCTATGGTTGGCTCCCTCATCTCTGGATTGTAGCAAATTCTGTCGACACTTCAAAACCAGGCGACACATGGAGGGGCAAACAGTGCCGCTAGGCTAGTCTCTCAGGTGGCTTTAAAGCCACCATCTTTGAGGGTGGGATCGATCGAGGTTCCATGGGCAGATCATCAGATTGAGTCGTGGTTATCCCCTTCACCACCATTGAAGTAACTTCAACCTTATGCTGCCATAGTGGTCTTCGTCGAGCCGTAGCAAACGGCTACCGTCACTGTGGTGCCCTTAATTAGCACATGAGGCTAAAACTTCTCACCCTTGAGCGCTGCAACCATTCGCAGTCCCGTCACAACCCCTAGTACTGGTGCCAAAAATACAAGGCACATCTCGTGAAGTAGGTCTGCCACAATGATGAAGGCATCTACACCATCACAACTCAAGATTATATTCCCGAGAGGCCTCCATCTCCCTGAGACCACAAGAGGACAATACCGCCAACCCTGGATTGAGGTGGGGAGGCGCCCCATCTTCAACAGGTTGGACGATAGGGTATCTTCCCACCAGCGCCTCTCGATGAACCTGTGTGATGCAAATCGGGGTTCCCCGAGCCAAGACGTCCGCCATCGCCACCAACAACACGGGGCGAGGACTCCAAAGCGTAACTCCGCATTGGAGAGGCTATGGGGCAATCGTTCTCCCAGATTGACCCCCACACCACCAGTAGTCTCCCTCTTCTGAGGCAACAACGGAGCTCACCTCCGCGCCAACAACATATTTCTCCGCCGAGGCAAAGGCAAAACTCTCCACCCCGATGCCACCACCGGGTAGATCCACGCGAGGAGGAAATCCACGCCCTCACTCGTCAAGTGAATGAATTGCGGGCAGTGACAACGGCATCATTACCGCTATCACCTCGTCCTTCAACCGAGAATCCTCAACTGGAGGCACTGGTGCGCCAAGTGAAGCAGCTCCAGGCTCAGCTCAACCATGAGTCTGACATAGTGAGGGTAAGATCCACCACTTCCTTCACTGCCCCTATACCCCTGATGGAGTGTATTCCCATATACCTCAGGGGTACCTGATACTATAGAATTGTTATTGTTTATGTTTATAATTTTAACTGGTTTTATTTATTGTTGTTTGGGAAATTACACACTTTTGTTTTAATACTTTATTTTTCTTAGTTGTTTGTAATTTGTTAATATTACACTTTTGTTTTAATACCTCAGGATGATTCTGAGCATAAATTTGTAAATATCATCAAAAGGATCTTTGGAAGATCAATGAAAGTGCAAGGGAACAAAATAAAGTGAAGATTTGGAAAATTAGTCATATATCCGGTCAGGTATAACATATACCCGATCGGGTATTTACTTGATTTGAGTGTCTAAACCAAATCCGGGAACAAATGATCATGGGAGCAATATTTGTGAAGATTTGTCTTTTACCCGATCGGGTATATAGTATTTGACCCTACCACCTCCAAACACCTATAAATACACTTCTTTTCCTTCCCATTTAATGATCAATTCACATATACCTTAAACTCAGTCTAGTTAAGTGTTTTCTTTATATTTTCTAGCATGTTTACTCTCCAAATGAGGAGCTAAACTCTTCCATCTTGGTTTTGCTACATTAAAGCTTATGATCGTAAGCTGTGAGTTATTTGCTTTAATCATCTTCCTTGAATATTAATTACATTCATATTTTATATCTCATATTAATATTTGAGCATTACTTAAAGGATCAACTAGTTTTGTTTCATATATTAATTATTACAAGAATCGATCGACGAATACGCTTGTTAATCTCAATCGATTTGATCTTAAGTTTAATTTCTACTATTAGGTCAATATACGGCGCATGTTCTATATTGACTTGATAGCAAGTTTTATTAATGAACGCGTCTCGTTATTAATAACTATCCTCGATGAATTGGAAATACTCCACGATTGAGTATTCGAGAGGAAGATAGTTAAAGATATAACCAGGATCGACGAACATTTCATTACGTGGATTTAAGCAAAACTAAGTCTCCATCTCTAATTAATTAAACCACATAATTCGTTCAACTTAGTGTTTAAGTATTCTTAAAGTTCAAAAAACAATCTTAAACCCCCCCTTTTGTTAATATTTCATAAAAGAGAAATATTCTTTTATTTGTAGATACGATCTTTACTATGTTATACTACGATATAAGTGCAAGTATTGAATATTACTTTAAGGCACACAACAACTTTAGTGCTACCAGTACCAACCATTGACAAACAAAGAGTCTCCAGAGTACCAAGTCAATATTCCGCCGACCTCGACCTCGACACACCCGAGGTCGGCCCAACATTGGCCCCCCAGATTGGCAAGATAAGACCAATTCCGAGCTCGACCCCAGTCGAGGTCGGCACAAGATCTGACCATGTGCACATGCTCAAAGTCAACTGCAATCAACAGAGGTATGAGATCGACACTACAGGACAAAGCTCGAGCTCAAACCTCGCTTGTGGAGCTCGGGGCCTAACTAGCCAGCTGTGGACTTAAACATCTCAATAATCAAGCTGTTGCCACATCACTGCCGCTGCTCAAGGGCCTCATCACCCTGACGGTTACCGTGATGAATATTTTATGGAATGCACATGGGTTCTGGTACAATTCTGTTACGCACAGTGCCAATCAGCCATCTGTCCCAATTATCTCTCCAATCACATTTACACGTGTAACACCCCCTATCT